TATTGTGTTCAACACCCCTCCCTCCCCACCCCCAAAACAACGTGCACTTTAAGTTCCCTGATGATGCCCCTATTCAACTGAATAAGCAGGTTGGGAGGGGCTATATCAGACTCAGATGCTGAATAATCAAGATGGCCAAAGATACGTGGACAAGAGCTCTTACAAACGTAAGTTGAATTCTTATAATAATGCATAGTTGTCTACCGGGTTTTGTTATTTAAGAGCTCTCATCTCACATGGAAGCTTTGGCTAGTTATCTATTTAGCTATTTTGCAGCATCAAATTACATGCTTTTGACGAAATTTGCACTCAACCGAGAAACGTGGATGCACAGAACAATCCAGACAGTGTACCAGTGCTGAAAGTGTACCATTTGAGACAATACTACCATCCTAAAATTCCTACACTAGACGACAGAGTGCATAGTGCATAGTATAAGTGTATAGCGTATACTATGTCATTTTTATGTCATTTGGGTCACAACTAAAGACTATGTGTGTAAGAATGCACCGGATATTGTGGTTGTTTTGGAGACAGTGTTGGGGAAGCACCAAACACCTGATCCTAATCAAGCATGCCATCTCGGCCTGTAGTAATAATTCTGCTAAGTATGCAGCTCAGTTTCAGAAACTTCCCCTCTTTATGGCGTGCGTAAGTGAGTGACTGAGAGCGCTAGCATAGGCCATTCATAGTTCCCTATACACGTCCATTAGTTAAGCCACAAGGTATTAATTTCTTTTTAAAACCAAGACCTTTCATTTTCAATCTGATATTTTGTAAATGGAGTTTTTCTCCCACACATGATTAGTAACTGGAAGCTCTTACTTGATTATGGAATATAAATAAACAGATCCTTTGCCATTCACATGCTACTCAGCACAGTATGTCCTCTATTTCTTTTTGTGAAGCAGACTTGGACATATTTTCTATTGGCTTTAGTCTAATTATAAGAATTAAGAATCACTTATTTCCAATATTTAATTGTCTTAATGCAATTATATGCATTAAGTGCACAATGGGGAGAGATTGTGAGCCTGTGCTGATCATCCTCCTTCTCTCTCTCTCACACACACACACACACACACACACACACACACACACACACTAAACAATTAGGTCGAATGTAGATATGACTGCTAATCGTGAAATGTACAATCCTGCTGAAATGAGAGTAATAATGATAGAGTTCATGGATCAAAACATTTCAGGTGCCTGCTTTCTTCATATGAATGGATTTAAAAAGTTTCTATGGTATCCCAAGTTTGTGAAGACTATAGCAATCATGCAAACCATTGCAGTATCTGGGATTTGTAAAGATCATGGATGCCTATAAGGTCAGAATCATTGATGGCTATCTTGTATTGGCCAGTGGCAGAGCTAAACCGTTAAAACCAGAGAAAGTTAGATTACAAATTGGGTATTGATAAGTGTTTTGAAAAACACCACCTTATCAGCTCATTTATTTATTTATTTTTCTTTCTTCATTTTTTATTATTATTGTTTTTAATATTTTCAGAAGTCTATAATCATATTATTTCCACTTTTATGTTTTTTCTCTCACACCATGATGCCAGATGTTCCCTTCTGTGCATGCACATTTTCCAGTGATTACTTCTGCATAACTAGTCCTGGAATGGTGTATAGATATTGTATAGATATTGACTGTTAGTACCACACTTTCTGAAAAATGAATGTTTGTCTATGGATGCAATGCATTCAACCAAAAAATGCAAAGGGGTGTCATGCTTTCCTTCAACCCTATCCGATATATATGGTATTCATTACATTTTTGCATTAGGTTTCTACTATCTCTCAGATAGGTCTGTTTTGTTTTTTCCAGCCAAATGATTGTCTCCTTCATGTCCATTGGCAGCAATATTTATAATATAATATAAAATCAGAGGCCGACGTAGCTCACAGCCAATGTATTAGACCTATTATGGTTGTATCATGTGCTGAAATTTAAATTTTTCCTTGGGGTTCAGTGAAAAGGCCAGTAATTAAATGTTCTGGTTGTCAGAATCTATTTGCAAATTGAGTGGTCTGTGTTAATCTGTGACTGTTTTTTTGAGTTAAAATCTGAAAATGAGTCTGGTATATGAATTTGTACAATCCAGAATCAAGTCAGAATGTGGGTTGAAAAAGAAAGCCAGTAGGAACACACATGTTAACAGACTTTAATATCCTAACTAAAGATCTCAGCGAATATGAGCACATTATTTTGGAATGAACAGGCAATATGTCCAAAATGGATACAAATATGAATAGCAGGCACACTATTAATTTTTTTCCTTTTTCAGAAACCTTGCAAGAAAAGTTTACAGGATTGAAATGTGAATCCAGCTGGATGCAACAACAACAACAACAACAACAACAACAAATGTCAGTGTTTACCTTCATGTGGGTGCAAGTGAGTGGTCAGATATGAAGACCTAGTTCATGCACAGCCCTCTACAATGAATTTACAGCATCCTAACTGCCTGATAAGGATCAAAATTAGTTATAGTCACTATAGTTAGTTCAATGGTTTTATTTAGTTGATTTTATATATTGGGAATTAGAACCACTAAATTGGTTAGAGAATATTGTGAGCAGGTACAAACAAATGTAACAACTGTGCAAGCAGGATTAAAAAAACAGTCCTGTGCCCATCTTTATTTGAGACCTGTTATGAACTCGGTTATTACAGCTGAGGTTGAGGAAACATATATTTTTTCCTTTGTCTCTTGAGACATAGTGATAGGGTTCATGTAAAAAAACAACAACAAAAAAAACAACTTCCTATTTAGGCCATACTTGTATCCTGTTAAAATCAGAATACAGATACTTATATGGGAATTTAGAGCTCTTAACAGATACAGACGCAGATATGACATTGCATTGCACCCTTAATACTAAAGTCACCTTAGTGACTAAATAAAAAATGGACAAACACTGACAAAAAATACTAAATTATTTGTATACAGTGGCAAGAAAAAGTATGTGAACCCTTTGGAATTTCATGGTTTTCTGAATAAATTTGGCATAAAATGTGATCTGATCTTCATGTAAGTCAGTGGTATAGACAAATATAATGTGCCTAAAATAATACCACAAAAAATTCAGATTTTTCATGTCTTTATTGAACACACTCATTCAACATTCAAAATGGCAGTGAACCCTTAGAATTAATAACCCCCTTGACAGCAATAACCTCAACCAGGCGCTTCCTGTAGCTGTGGATCAGACCTGCACATCGTTCAGGTGGAATTTTAGCCCATTCTTCCTGGCAGAACTGCTTTAGCTCTGTCATATTCTTAGGACGTCTCATGTGTATGGCTTTCTTAAGTCATTCCATAGCATCTCTATTGGGTTGAGGTCTGGGCTCTGACTTGGCCACTCCAAAAGGCGGATTTTATTTTTCTGAAGCCATTCTGTTGTGGACTTGCTCCGGTGTTTTGTTTCATTGTCCGGTTGCATCACCCAACTTCTACACAGTTTCAGCAGAGGTACAGACCTTCTCATATTATCCTGAAGAATTGTCTGATATACTTGGGAATTCATCTTCCCCTCAATGATTGCAAGCTGGCCAGGCCCTGATGCAGCAACGCAGGCCCAAATCATGTTTCCTCCACCATACTTTACGGTTGGGATGATGTTTTCATCATGATATGTCGTGCCCTTTCTACGCCAGATGTAGTGCTGTGTGGTTTTCCCAAATAGTTCAATCTTAGTTTCATCAGTCCACAAAACATTTTGTCAATACCACTGTGGAGTGTCAAACTTCAGGCGTGCAGCAATGTTCTTTTAGTAAGCAGTGGCTTCCATCGTGGTGTCCTGCCGCAGATACCCTGCTTGTTCAATGTTTTACGTATTGTAAACTCATGAACAGAGATGTTAGCCAGTTACAATGACGCCTTCAAATCTTTGGCTGTCATTCGGGGTTGTTTCTTTACCTCATTGATGAGTCTTTGTTGTGCTCTTTGTGTTATTTTGACTAGGCGTCCAATTTTTGGTAGAGTAGCAACAGTCCCAAAGTGTCTCCATTTGTAGAATGTTTTGCGTAATTATAGACTGGTGAATTTCGACAGTCTTTGAAATCACTTTGTGACCCTTGCCAGCTTTATGTAAATCAACTATTCTTGATCGTAGATCCTCTGAAAGCTTTTTTTGGCGAGGCATGGCTCACATAAGCATGTGCTTCTTGTGCAGAGCAAACTCCAAAAGTTTGAGGGGTTTTTATCAGTCAAAGTAGCTGTAATCCACACCTCCAAACTCATTTTCTTAACGAGACTCCAGGTGTGCAAAAAAAGGCTTTTTTTTTTCCACAAGCACTATGAGTTTTTTTTGGTTGTTCTCAATAAAGACATGAAAGATCAGAATTTTTTTGTGTTCTTATTTTATATACATTATTTGTCAATATAGCTGACTTAAATGAAGATCAGATCACATTTTATGACAAATTTATTCATAAAACCATGAAATTCCAAACGGTTCACATACTTTTTCTTGCCACTGTAATAGATCTTATTATATCTCCCTATTGTTCATTGTACACAGAGGCCAGTTGTAAAACAAGCAAGAAAGAATATGTGGAAAAATACAACAGGACAGTAGAGAAGTCCCATGTCTACAAAGGCGGAAATGATACTTCAATATAACTTTAATGTAATATTTGCAATATCCGTACTCAATTACATGTCCTTAAAAAATCCCAAACACACACAATTATACTCGTTACATTTTCATTTGGACCTTCCAAGTAAATAACTTCTAAAAGATTCTCAAAAGACTATGACTTTATTTTCATATGCCAATCCATACTGTTCCTGTACAGTTAACTACATTTATTAACAACTGTGCATATTAGAGATCCAGGGAGCATGACAGGGTGCCAATCCATCGCAGGGCACAATCACATACACATTCACACACTAAGGACACTTTGTATATTTTTGTGTACTTTGGACTGGGGAGGAAACCCCGCAGCATGGGGAGAACATGCAAACTCCACACACACAGGGCCACGGCGGGAATCGAACCCCCATCCCTGGAGTGAGGCGAACGTTCTAACCACTAAGCCACCATGCGCCCAGTAGAGATCCAAACAAACCCATAACAAATCGGCTGGATTTAAAAAAAAATTTATGGATTCATCTTTGCACAAACACCTATTAGTTTCACATGCCTTTCATACATTAAGGTTATTTTAATAAACAAAAGGGACACAAGCAATTTCACACTAATCAGATCATAAAAATAGGTACAAAAAATAGGCCTTTGCAACTTTTATATGAATTGTTATGGTAGAAGGATCGTTAAATAAGATAAATGTGTCCTCATGTGCATGAACCAAGAAAGAATTCAAAATCCAAGGCAGATATTTTTCACATATTGAATGAGACCAGACCAGTGAGTTGATATGAAAATTATTATATTATATATATATTTATTGCTTTAAACTTCCATAGTGTAAAAAGTGCAACGATCAGTGAATAAAACAGGTCTATGACCCGTTATGCAAATTGTTACAACTTATGCAAATACTCCACTGTGTGCAAGGGGTTGGGGAAACTGGTGGGAGTTGCTTAAAAGGTTTAGTTTAATTCAACTTTATTGTAATTATATGACAATATTGCAATCTATTAGTAACGAGGCTGCGTTGCTCCTCACTTGCAGTGTAGATGCGGTGATGAACAGTGGGAGTGCAAGTAAGATTTGTAATGGCACATTAAAACAGGGACGATCAAAGTAAACAATATGCCTATAGGCAGTGACTAACAGAAACAGTGAATGTTTATTTTTTTTTTATCTTTAATTTAGAGTGGACTGTAGATTTATGGATGCTTTTTGTGCATCCATAAAAAAAAAAGCATAAATACTTATATATAATATATATACCACAACTGTCACTATACTGTGTTATCAGCATCTAAATTCCTGAGTTAGTTTACTTTCTTTTATTGTTTTAAATAGAGAACATTAAATTGTTACACTATTGTAGTCAAGGTCGAACACAATGGAACAGCTATTTCTGAAATATATCTCGTTTCACTCCACTAGTTCAGTGGCCTTACAAAGAAAAGTTTTAAGGCTGTGTTAGTACGTCCTAATTGTGGTCAGTTTGGACAGTGTACAGACAGTCAGTGTAGAGAGAGGGACTGTGTTGTGTTGGTATGTAAAACTTAAAAGAAGAAGCTTTATTTGTCACATAGATATTACAGAACAGTGAAATCACATATCACAGCTTGTTAGGAAACTGGGGTCAGAGCAGAGGGCCTTTCTCAAGGGCCCATCAGTGCCAGCGCTGGGATTTGAACCCCTGACCTTCAGTCAGCAGCCCAGCACCTTAACTGTTGAGCTACCACTGCACTAATTTGGAGCATGATTTTGCAAATGGGAAAGCACTACTGGATGTAATGCAGTGTGCTCAATCATCTCAATCATCAGAAACTATTTTCTGTGATGTACAGACATGTAATATTCATTTATTCATTCATATCTAGCGGCAATTTAGCATTGCCAGTTTTGGGAGGTAGGAAAAACTGGAGAAACTCCACTAAAACAGTAACTTAAGCTCAAGATCAAACCTGGGACCATGGAGCCGTGAAATATGCATTTTACTTGACTGCAAATATGAATTATATTTGACTGGATAAATGTTTAACTTGTTAATATCCAACAATAATTGGAGTAGAGATATCATAACCATAATCATGTCAAAGTTCTGCTTAAACTGGGTCATGTCCTAATGTGTTCTTTTGCTCTCTAAAAAGCTTTTGACACTTAAATATTTCCTTTTGCTTACTGCTCATTATCCACAAAAAGAATATAAAGAGGCAGTGGTCAGAGGTTACTCAGTAGGGCTCTGACAGGGTCACAGCAGCCAGGGAGGAGAGGTGATGAATGCAAATGGGACATTCAGATCATCTCAGTGTGGTGGTATGAAAAGAACTGTGAAAATGCAGATTAATGAGGAGAAGTGTGCTGTGTGTTTTTGTCTTGATAGAAAGAGAAGGTGTGGAGAAGGAACTATAGAGTGGAAGAGATTACATAACATAACATAACATAACATAACACATAACAGTTGTCTAGTTTAGGCTTGAGTTTTGTTCTGTGCAGTGACAAAAATTGCATCATTGTGCTTTACGTTACCAAATGGTTTTTATTACAAGTCATTCACAGAAATGGCTCTATATGTCTAGTGCTCTGATTTTCAGAGTCATTGCCTTCCAACCAATTTTCCTCAATCAATTTTGAATCAATTCTGTGGGAGAGCCATTAAATAGCATGTCCTCATACAGAGAAAAACCTCCATTCAGTAGAATGTTATATATTCCTCAATACTTTGAATTTTTGCATGCCCCAATTTGTATGTAATATAATATTTGCTTGTAGTAATCTGATATCACCATCATCACCATCATCATCATCATTATCATCATCATCAGCAGCAGCAGCAGCATTGTTACCATTATATATACTATTGGTGTATGCCTTTTGTCTGGTTTCTGCTGGTCCTGTCCTCTTTTTTATGCCTTGTTTTTTGGATTTTGTAAGTTTTTATCAGACAACAGGCAGAAACGGAGCAGTCTACAGTTAATGCTGAATCACTGAGGGAAGAATACACTATTATATCTGCTTTTTCCTGTGGTGGTTTCTTCTGTAACTGATGTGAGCTGAAGTACCAGATAATAAAAGAGAGCACAAAAACACACATGGACCTGAAACCTGACTTCACTGCAGTAACAGTGGACAGTTCTCCAGAGAATAAGTCTAAGTTAGCATTTAGTTTAACGGTAGTATAAGCCTTCCTCTGGGGGTATTGGGGAGCTGCTCAGAATTATAGGTCTGAGTGGTACAAAGAGCTTATTGAATACTTACTATTTTTTTTAATGACATCTCAATTTGTAAAGAGTAATACATGAAAGGCCCTGCTGTTATATGGATTTCATACACACCAGGATGGTGAGATACCCCAGTGTGGTACCACGCTGAAGTGTATTGTTTTTCATCTGAAGTCTGTTAATCTGCTAGTGATTTGCTAATGATTACAATGTTTAATTTATTAATGAATGCACGCTTTTCAAAGGTTTATAGTTTTACGTTGTGGAATGTTGGTGAAACAAGTTAGTTCCTGTAAACAGTCATACCCTTACCTGCATCCTCTGTCTCGCTTTCAAAAGATGCAGGTTGTCATTATACCAAGAAACTGGAAAGCATTAAATTCTCTGTTCTGAAGACTTTCTTGTGTTAGGAAACTTTATAATGTACTATCACTGTTACACAGTGCTGATACCCAAGACTCCTTCCTGATATGTTACATTAATGTCTCTTAAAAAAACTTAATTATATCAATGATTATACATTTTTCTTTGTTTTCAAAATTGGTTGATTATTAGCCTTAGATTATATGGAGTGCACACATTACAAGTCCCAGTATATGAGTGGTTACCGGTGTTCTGGATACATGACAAATTTGCTGACTTTCAGCTGGACTTTCAACATAATCACAGAAGACTTGCGACTTTGACTTTGACATCAATGACTTGTGACTTCACATGGGCCCTTTGACTTGGCAAGACTGGATACATTACCAAAAATGAAGATTAAAAATTATACACTGAAAGTGTGAACTGAATCAGTGATATTTTTCCCCAACAAACAATTCATTTTTAGCAAATCAGCACCAACCTTAATTTCCAATGTCTATGTAAACCAGTCAATAAGGCAAACAAATTATACTAGACAATGTCAAAGTTGAAAGATCACTCAGTCACCGACGACAGTTTTGTACTAGGCACTTTTGTGGTAGCCATGATCACAAAGATAGTGGCCTTTGCCTATATGTAGCCTTCACCTACAAACATCATGTTGTTCGCAGCAACAAATGGGTTGCAACATGTACAACCTGCAGTTTGAGAATATCAGATGCATCTGAGGTAGTGCTGCCTGCCTCCATTGCCTCCATGTTTGCAGCCATGGTCTCATCATACTTTGTCCCCATCATGCACAAATGAACAAATGACTGAGAGCCTTTTGGCCAATTTGGTCTTTTGCAAACACACACACACACACACACACACACACACACACACACACACACACACACACACACACGCACGTATCATGTTATGCCAACCCCTGGCATTGCGTGAGCAGCTGTTCACAGTCCTCAGACTAACAGACATGTAAAAGTGCTTCCAGTATTTCACGTAGCCAACGATCTTCAGTGCTCATAGGTAGGCCTATGTAATTGATCACACTGGTACAGCGACGTAATAGCATAATGAACTTAATAGCAGTGAGTATTCTCAGTACAAAGGGAAAAATTTATGGATTGCACAGTCTATCAACTTATGTGCTGTAACCTCAGTTAGCTAAAAAACACATTTGCCCAAAGCACTTTTTTTCATACAGTAAGTGTACTTACAATAAACATTACTTGCACAACATAATCAAGAAAAAAATCATCTTACCTAAAACAAAATATTCCATAAAGCTGTTGTGTCAGTGTCTTCCTCCTCTTCCCTGTGTCTCTTATGTATCCATGAGCGCACAAAAGGCTCGGGATTGAACTTTGTGAACCCATGTTCAAAAACATCAGAAATGAGATGATGGGGATGAGAAGGGATTCATGCTGTGAGCTACAAATGAGATTAAATTTGGAGAAACCCCACTCGCGTGCAGTGTTCACAGTAGCCAACGGCTACTTCAGTCCTTCTGGAACTTTTTGTCTTTTGATTCCTTGTATTCCCTAAAAGCCTGAATGACTGTACTGTTAACTCTATTTAATTCCAGGCAGTCAATCTCACTTTCAAAGCCATGCGCAGGTTCACAATGTTAACCTTGTAAATGCTTCTAAAAAACCTTCCACAATCAGGCTAGCATTATCACTGCTAGTCGTGGGAACAGTCGCCAAACCAATTTTTTCCTGTGCCGGAACCACATAAAAAGATTCCGGAACGCAGGTGTGCTATATTTTAGAGCAGGGTCCAACTTAAATTAAGTTATGCATCTCTCAAATACCCATATATTTCCATTGAAAGGTTTATAACATTTGTCTAGAATTTGCATACTTTGTGTAAATTTA